GTGTCCCACTGTCCCATGTCCCACGGTCCCCGTGTCCCGCTGTCCCCACGTGTCCTACCCTCCCCGTGTCCCGCTGTCCCATGTCCCGCTGTCCCCATCCCCCGTGTCCCGCCGTCCCCGTGTCCCGCCGTCCCCGTGTCCCACGGCCCCATGTCCCACGGTCCCCATGTCCCGCCGTCCCCGTGTCCCGCTGGCCCCATGTCCCGCTGTCCCCATGTCCCGCCGTCCCCGTGTCCCGCTGTCCCCCCACGTCCCGCTGTCTCTGTCCCGCGGTCCCCATCCCCCGTGTCCCACGATCCCCCCTGTGTCCCCCCGTCCCTGCCCTCTCTGTGTCCCGCCATATGGCCCGTCTTCCCCTGGCCCGCCACCCCTGCTGCCCCCCGGCGTCCCGCCAGGTGTCCGCCCACGCTGTCCGTGACACTGGTTGGCAGGATGTGGCGCAAGCAGGCCCGTCAACGCCTCCTGTGATGCGTCTGCTCCTTGAGGGGCTGGTCGCGGGGAGGGGCACATGCCATGCTTCCCTGGGGTGAGAGGACCTCAGGTCTGGAGGGTGCGGTTCACAGGTCTCTAGTCGGGGGTCCACGGGACGAGGGCCACGGGCCGCTTTCTTGTAAGAGGATCAGCCCGGGAGCCGCTGAAGCCCAAAGCCTGGGCCCCAGAGTCGTGGTGCAGCCTGGTGAACGAGCCCCCAGCGGCTGGGAGCCCCTTCCCCCAACCCTCTCAGACCCTGCCCCCCCCCCCCCCCCTCCCCGCCACCCCCCCCTGGAGACGGCCCCCTCCTCTGACACTGTCCCCCCGAGCTGCGGCCGGGGCCCCGCCCCTCTAAGACCCCCTCTCCCCGACCCCCCGCTTCAGACACAGGTGTCCTTTGGTAATAGCCAGGGGTCCCAGGGCCACGTATCAGACCTCCAGGCCCGTCTCATTCCTGGCGGGACCAGCAGCCTCAATCATGCTCCCCGGGGCCACCGGAGGGGCCCGTTTCTTTATCGTGAGGACGTCTCCTTTACTCCGACCCGAATTTCTGGGGCCCCGCTGCGTGGCCTCTGTTCTTATGGGCTCTGTGTATGAACCTTGGCTGTACCTGGGCTCGTAGGGGCAACCAACTCTAGGATGTGGGACGCTGGACGGGAGGATCCACGTGCGAGGTTCTCAGAGCGGCTGTGACAAATTACCTCAAACCTGGTGGCTTAAAACAAGAATCCAGCCCCTCCCAGCTGTGGAGATAGAGTCTGAGGTCCAGGCGGGGCAGGGCCGTGCTCCCTCCAGAGGCCCCAGGGGAGGGTCCTTCCTGCCTCTTCCAGCTCCTGGGGCTCCAGGCGTCCCTGGGCTGGTGGCCGCATCCCTCCTGTCTCTTCCTCCGTCCTCACGTGGCTTCTCCTCTGTGTCTGTGTCTCGTTTTCTGTCTCTTACAAGGACACCTGTCATTGGATTTAGGGCCACCCTGCTCCAGGTTGAGCTCATCTCAGATCTTTCAGTTCATCCCATCGGCAAAGATCTGATTTCCCCACAAGCTCACATTCTGAGATTCTGGGTAGGTGTGAATTTGAGGGGTGAAAGTCACCGCAGAACAGCCAGTGGACCGACTGTCCCCGCATCTGGATGGGTTTAGACCCGTGTCCCCGGATACGGGGCCGATGCCAGGGGAGCCCGTGTGCGGTTGTAGGTATTGTCAGGTGTTGTCATGGGAACACATGTGTCTGCCCCGGCCCAGGGATGTGTGCAGCAGAGCCCACGTTGCGGTGAACGGGCAACAGTGGTTCGCTTTGCGTGCAGTCTGAGCAAAGGGCTGGGCCTGGTTGCCATCGTTTGCTCATCACTGAGTCCGTGAGCTGTGTTGGGGCGCTGTTGTGCCCAGGAGCCCAGCCGCGCTCCCCACGTGCCCTGAGCCCACGCTGGGCCACCGAGGCCTCTCAGGGCAGCGCACCACTGCAGAGCATTCCGTGTCCGGTGAGGGTCCGAGTGGGCTGAGCTGGCCACTGTCTCCCCGCAGCACTGACGAGTCAGCAGGAAAGAGTGCTCATTGAGATGCTCGTGGCCGCTGTGCGACAGGCTGCAGAGGGCCGCCCACCTGCCGGCCGCCGACTGGGCAAGAAAGTCAGTGCCACCCCCGCCCCCACGTGGATGCGCTTCGTCCCCTGTGCTGACCCCTCCGCTGGGGCTCTCGTGCTGGGGCTCTGTGGGTGCCTGCTCCCACCTCGGCCGCGCAGCGCCCCCGCCCGCCTGGCCCTGGGCTCCGCTTTCTGCTGCTTCCGCCTTGTGCTTGCCGCCCTGGCTGCTCACTTGGCCGTGGGCCCCGCGGGCGGGGCTCTTGGCCACCCAGGTAGGTCTTGCTGGCCGTGCTTCGCAGCTGCCGCCCACCCCCTCCTGCCGGCCGCCAAGCCCTCTGCCACCTGCTTCCTGTGTCTGCTGTCGGCCTCCCCGGGGAGGGCACTCCACAGTCCTCCCTGTGCCGTGCGCACACTCTGAGGACGTGCAGTTGGTCAGCCAGCCTTTGAATTGCCTCTGTTGGAGCCTCTGGCGCTGTTGGGACAAAAGATCGTACCCCGGGGGACCTAAAACCACAGGAATTACGCATTCTGCCCCAGCTTTGCAGACCAGAAGTCAGATCCAGGCGGGGCAGAACCGCTGAGATCCAGGCAGTATCTGGCCATGCTCCCTCCTGAGATTCCTGGGAAGGGTCCTCCCTGCCTCTTCCAGCTTCTGGGGCTCCAGGCGTCCCTGGGCTTGTGGTCGAGTCCCTCCCGTGTCTGCCTCCGTCCTCACGTGGCAACGAAACAGCAGAGTAGCCGTCGAAGCTTTGTCCTTGATCTGGGGGCAGCTCTGGCTGGGTGTGACCTGGTGCTGTGCGAGGAGGTCCCAGGGCCACCGTGGGACCCTCGTGGCTCCGTCATGGGCTCAGGCCACGCATGCTCTGCCTGCAGGCGGCCAGGGAGGTGGACGGGACCCGCCGCTGCCGCGAGCATGCCAACATGAGCCGACACTTTGTCAAGGTGCTGCCCCGGCTGCTCTCCAAGGTGCCAAGTGGGGAAGGGCCCCAGGCCGAGAGCCCAGGGAGGCTGGGGGAGCTCCAGGGCAGGCCAGGAGGCGGCAGAAGCGAGGGGAGGCTGGCGAGGCTCCACTTCACGCCTCCTCTCTGGGCAGTTTGCAGCAGACAAAGAGAAGGTGACCCCCCTCCTGCAGATCCCACAGTATTGCAACCTGGACGTGTACGACATGGACGGCCTGGGCTCGGTACGTCCTAGGATTCCGTTCCTCCTCCCTGAGCTCCATGCCTGGGGGCCACAGCCCTCCTTCTAAGGTCCACACCCCGCTTGTCTGGCTCCAAGGGATGGGGCCACGTCTCTTCTCCCTGGAGTTCCACGCGGGGCAGGGGGCACACTCCTCCTCCTCAGGGTCCATGCCCCTGCACTGGGGTCGCGTCCCACTCTCCTCTGGGTCCACACCCCCCCTTCTGTGGGTCCACGCCCCCCACCCCGTCTGGGTCCCGGCATGGGGGCCACGTCTCCCTTCTCCCTGGAGTTTCGGGGGGGGCTGCTTTCCTCCTCCCTGTCCACACTGCAGGGGCCCGCCATCACCCACTCTTGTGGCAGAGTCAAGACCCCTATGCTTGCAACTCCTGTGACTTTCTTCTCTTGGCCGCATGCCCCCCTCCCTGCGCTCCAGCTGGCCCTTTTAGCCGCTGACCTTCTTCCAAACCTCGTGACCTTCCGCTCCATCCCTGACCTTTCCCTGAACCCTGTGATCCCCTAGCCTCCCCCCCCACCCAACCCCTGATCTTCTCCCTGACCCTTTATCTGCCCTCAACCCTGTGACCCCTGACGGTTCCCCGTATGACCTCAGACCTTTCCTCCTTGACCTCCTGACCTTTCTTCTTAGCCCATGAACCCCTGGCCTTCCCCCTCAACCCCCTGACCTCCTCGCTGATCTCCTGAACTTTCCACTGGCAGTTTCCCCCTCGACCTCCCGACCCCCTGACCTTTTCTCTCCACCCCGTGCTGTAATCCCCTGACCGGTCCTTTGTCCCCCCCCCCCCCCCCCCCCCCCCCCCCCCCCCCCCCCCCCCCCCC